CTGGCTGTTTTCACCGATCTCCCCCCTACCCCCCTACCCCCATCAACCCAACCTACACATCAATGCCAGAACATGTCTTTTCTATTCTTCCCTTGTCTTTTCTATTCTTCCATTGTCTTTTCTATTCTTCCCTTGCTTCTCTTCTCTCACTTGTTGCTTCCCTGTTTTGTTTGGTTTTGTTTTTCTGTTGACGTTTTATTTATTTTTTTATTCTTCCTTCTGTCTCTCCTGTCTCGGTGGTGGAGTCAGAGTGGTTCTGGCATGGTTCCTGTGCGGCTTGTCTGAGTGCTTGGCTCGTCATTGTGGGCGTATGCGCGGACAGACAAACAGACAGACAGACGGACACACAGACTGACACACCGACTGACGATATAAACAATGTATCTAACTCTTTAGATCGTCGTTTTACGTTTTACGCACAGATTGATAAACACAAGCACGGACAGATAAACTGAAGGACATCTAGACTAGAAAGATTTACACAGGCAGAGATAATAGCAAACACTGACGGATAAACTGGAGGGCTTTTAGACTTGTACAAGAAAGATTTGCACTGGCAGATAACCACAAGCACTGACAGATAAACTGGAGGGCTTTGAGACAAGAAAGATTTGCACTGGCAGATAACCACAAGCACTGACAGATAGACTGGAGGGCTTTGAGACAAGAAAGATTTTCACTGGCAGATAACCACAAGCACTGACAGATAGACTGGAGGGATTTGAGACAAAGACTTACACAAACACAAGGCAAACAAAGACAATGTCTGTGACGTACGAATGAACTTAGCTGTGTGCTTACGATCACACAGACAGGCAGGCAGACAGACAGACACACAGACAGGCAGACGTGCAGACAGACACACTGACAAAAATATGGACAGACAGACAGACAGTGACAAACAGGTGAGACGTCGAGCTCAGATGTGCACTTTGTTAAAGGCTTCTATAAAACTATACAGAAGTCTCAGCTCAGATGTGCACTTTGTTAAAGGCTTCTATAAAACTATTCAGAAGTCTCAGCTCAGATGTGCACTTTGTTAAAGGCTTCTATAAAACTATTCAGAAGCTTTTTTATGTTTGTTACTCTCTTGTAACACCTTTAATCTTTTGGCGCTCATATGACCTTTTGCGGTTTCGAACGCCGTAAAACCTGTAGGCTACTGAAAGAAAAAGTGTTTGACAGTCAGTGTGTATTTGTGTGTGTGTGTGCAGGAGGCGATCACCCACGGCAGTGAGGAGAGGCATCAGCTGAGACAGGACCTGGCGGAGGCGCAGCAGAAGCTGGACCTGCTCAAGGACATGCAGAGACAGATGACCGCCTCGGGGGCCGTGCCTCCTGGGAGACTCAGTCCTCGCCCACAAGGTAAGGAG